CAGCAGCAACTCCTCAGGAGTGGAGCCAGCATCCCCTCATGCTGCTTTGCTGCAGGCTCTGCAGCCTGAAGCTTATTAAAACTTTACACTGCAGAGCCCCCAGTTTGTATAATCGATTTTTAGTGGTTATCCGGTTACCTTATTAAATGACTTTCAACATCCCTCGTTTACAACACGCTAACTAGTTGAGATAAACCCTAGTCAGGAGTCTAGGGTTTAACGTGATCAGCTAACATGTTAGGGCTACAATTTGCCTTGTCTACCGTGGGATTTTAGCACTTAACTGCAGGTTGAACCTCCCTGGTCTGGGACCGGCGAATTTGCCAGACCAGAGGGGATCAATACACCTGGGTCTCTGCATTTCCTCCTGGCTGCCCACTGCTGCCCGGGGCTCTGCTCTCCCAATGGGGGCAGAGGGCTCCTCTACCCTCCTGCAGATCTGTTGTCACCCAGAGCTCTGCTTTTTTTCCCCACAGCTCTGCTGCTGCCTGGGAGGGCTCCATGCTCTGCCCGGTGGCCCCGCTACTGCCACGGACTCTTCCCAGCAGCTTGCGCTCTGCCTGGCGGTCCTGTTACCATCAGGGACACTCCCAGGCTGCAGCAGGGCTGCTGGGAACTCCCATGCTCCTCCTGTCCTAGTCTGGTAATGCTCCTGGTCCCACGGGGTCACCCCAACAATGCCAGACCGGGGTGTTGCTGGACTAGGGAGTGTCAACTTGTAACCAGTTAAAACCAGACCCTTTTTCCTAAGCTGAAGTTACACTCCGCGCGGGGGGGATGGACAAAACAGAAATTGGCTGGGCTGCCCATTCAGGGTCAATTTTTTCCAAGCAAAGGGGGCTTAACCAACAAGAAAGAACAGTGTTAGCATCCCTGTGTCCTCTTAGGAAAGATCTTCATCTCTAGCGTGCAGAGTCAGGAGATCTAAGAAAAGTCAAGTCCCTGTCCATACAGATCTTGGCTTCTCTACTGAGTATAATATAAAGAAATCAAATCAAGATGAGTTGAGACCTAAAAATAATTAGCATATGATGCTTTGGTAATTGAAAAATGTTTTGATTTCAGATCTTGTTCTGGGCCTGAGACACTCCCAGTGAAGTCTATTGCCTTCAAGAGAGATTTGGAGTAGGCATTTTGGCAGTAGGTTTTGCTCCCCACTACTAAGGATTCTAGTGATGTAATTGTATGGCAACAGGTAGGAGGGTTTCATTGCTGGTCTTAACGCACATTTCTGGCAAAGTGCCTAATATTTTTTAGCAGTAGAGTAACAGATCCCAGCATCTATTCAGTACACTTTAAAATATTGTGCTTTATATCAGAATTACTCCATTCTTGGACTCAATTATCCACCCCACCATCCCACTAATGGTATGCTTCTTTGGCACTCATCATACCCTGCATTGCAGGAAGTGGTTTGTGATTATCAGACGAAATTATACTACAGAAGAACAAAATATTAACCTGAGGCCAGACTGAATAGGACTGCACATTTGTAATTGACTTGGAAGAATATATTTTTGAGATATTCAGGAAATGGTAACAAAGGCATACAAATTCTATTTAAACAGTATTAAAGATATGGCAGAGCCCAAGAAAATACAACATTCCTTATCCTAAGCAGTTTTAATGTGCACATCCCCATAGAATTTAGGAGCCTATTATTGAACACTGTTCATATGCAGAAATAACTTGTAGCAAGACAATTATCTGTATAGATGGATGATGGGACTTGTTACCTGGATCTCATTTCTTCTTACAAAGGAAGGTTCATTAATGGGACCCTTTGCAGGGCTTCAATAGGATTTGGTTCCACATTTGTGAGGGAACTTACCAAGCAGGGGTGGGTCTGTTGGGCTTGGAAAAGGGAAGAACTCACATTAGTCCTCTTGCAACAAAACTCTAAGTAGCTGCTGCACTCTAAGAATGTATTCAGTCAATGGAACTTCAAACACTTGCTACCCCAGGGCCACTGTCCCTATCTCTGTCTCTCAGGATTACTTGGAAAAGGGAACAGCCTGAAATGTTATGTGCTGTAGATTGTTCATTCCCCACATGTTGGCTATGTCTACACTGTGGGTTTTTTGATATCCCAAAAAAACCCCGCTTTGTCCAGGGAACACGTTTGCACTTTTGAGGAAGTGCAAACACACTTTCAGAAGCCCCTGTATTCCTCCTTCCACGAGGAAGGGGGCTTCCAAAAGAGGGTTTTTTTCTGACATTTGGCCCAGTCTAGACAGGCCAAATGTTGGAAAAGCCTCGTCTGACAAAAGAATCGGAAAAAGCTATGCAAAATGCGGAGCGCTTTTTGTGTAGCTTTTTCTGACAAAAACTTGTAGTCTAGACCTAGCCATTGCCTGCACTTTGGGGTAGTCTCTCTTTCTAGGGAATTGATATTAACCTAAAACCTAATTAAGATAAGCAATATATTCTGAACATATTCCACTCACTTTGGTTTCAGAATATTCCAAGGACACACAGAATCCTAAAATTCTGCTCAATATACTAGATGCTTAAACCCCTCACTCACTAACTTCCACAACTTTATATAGGGTAACACACAGTTCAATTAGGTTGTCATTTATGAAGAATGCATGTAAGTTATCCAGACACTGCCAAAAAATAGCTTGATCTCTCCAATCAACTTAAGATTTTAAGGTTTAAATATACAAGTAAAAGGGCGTACATAGTTGTTACAGTCTCACCTCGCTGCAGAAAGAGCTGGTAGGTAGAAAGAAACATTTAGCAAAATGGAAGGGCACAAACAAATTTAAGCATTAATGGTTTCAGCTCATCAAAGGTGATGTACAAAGCTATTCTACTAGGATGGTATCAACATTTTCTGGAGCACTATCAGACTCTAATGCACACGATGAATCCAAGTGATCTGTAGAGAGCCTGGAACTTTTTACTGTGCAATCAGACCAACTGTCACAATAAGGATGAAACCTGTGGGCTACTGGGTTACCAAACCTCTGGCATCGGTTGTATTTGTATTGTTTCCCTTTGTGTGTGTACATGTGTTCCAGCAACTGGCTCTTTCTGAGAAATTTATGGCCACAGACGCTGCAACTGATTTTTCTCTTTCTTGAAAAAGAAAAGTTGCAGTTTAACTCCATAGGTTCTGCGTCTTTGGAGATTAGTGACAACTGGCCATACTGTAATGGCTCTGTGTTACTATGGCTTGGATGTTCTGACGAATGCTCATTCTCTTTCATTAGGAAGGTACCCAGCCGGTGACTTTCAGTAGCTTCCCCCTTTTCAGTTATAGGCTGCACTTCACCAAGGTCGTTACTTTCCAAGATGGAGGCTGGCACACCAAAGGGAAGTGAGTCTGACACATGAGTGTGCAGGTGTTCCCGCAAATTGACACGGGAATCAAAACGTTCCCCACAGTAATGACATAAGTGCATTTTGAGATTAGTTTTAGAAACATCTGGAGAGGGTGATGTATGACTCTGGGACACCACTGGCTCGGGGTCACACTTCTCCTGCTTTATGGACACAGATGATTTCTGAAGTTCCTCCACTGGCTTGGCAGCCCCAGCTGCTTGGGCCGAAGGATGGGTGATCTGTTGTTCAAGGGTGCCATCATCTAGTCCAATGGCAAGTGAGAGCTGTAACTGTGGGTGGTCACCCTGGTTTGCAGATCTATTGCTGGCATTTATCCGATTTTCTTTTGCACCAAGACCTTCTGTTGTTGCTTTGTGTGCGGTTGAGATCTGAATTCCATACAAGTTTGAAGACTGCACCGTCTCTGGTGAAAATATCTGGTTCATTTTAACTGCAATATGGGAAAGGTAGTCTGCATGGAGAAATCGAATGCCCTCCTCTAGCCGGCTGGGGTTGACTGTCTGCTTTGGACCTTTTCCAGTGTACATAATGTGCAACAAGTAGCTGAATATGTCTGGTTGGATATCTGTAGGCTGAATCTTTATGCATTCACTGTTAAAAACAAAACACAATTAAATATATGTGTTTCACCAAATGATAGTCCTGGCCATTATTTAAGCATTCATCTGGCCATGTACTTTGGCTACCTTTCCCGGATTCAGACACATGCACAAAAAGAAGGACATGGCCATAATTTACATGGGCAATTATAGTGACTGCATGCATAACTGCATTAATTGTGCACAATGTGACCAGCTAGCCATGCACTCAGTCATTTGCACATGCAATGAGACTCTACCTGCCCCTGCAGTAATTGTTTGCAAATTATGAGTTCACATATGGTGTGCAGTTCTGAAAATCTAGGCCTTATTTAAGACTTATTTAAATAATACTACATTCAACAATTTCAACAGGGTGGACTGATTTAAATGAAAAATGATTTAAACCACCAATCTTAATCACAATTTAAAATGAGCAAGGAGGAAACCTTGATGTAAATCATCAATTTTAAATGTTTTGCATTTGTACTTTTTAGCTATTTTCCTCATTGCTTGATGACCATTAAAAAGAATACTAGAAGTGGAAGGGACCTGGAGAGGTCCTCAAGTCCAGCCCCTTGCACTTATGGCAGGACCAAGCACCATCCCTGACAGATGTTTATCTAATCTGCTCTTAAATATCTCCAGTGATGGAGATTCCACAACCTCTGTCATGATCTGAGCTGATGCCCTCAGCAGTGTTAAGACCTGGCCTGGTGTATGACAGTGTGTATTCAACAAGATGCACAGAACCTGGTCAATTGAGTTTTGGATCAGGACCCCACGCTATTCTAAATCTGATTTTGAAATGGAGAGTTTGGTTGGTTGAAGAGGCATTTCTGGACTCAATTACTTAGAACATTCTCTGTATGTCAGTCATGGCACTCCACAGATGTGGAAGGTTTTGTTTACTTTGCACGTATTCATTAGTCTAGTCAAGTGTGCATATATGTATTTACTATGTTTTCTCTCAGACCTCCAGGAAAAAAAATCACAGCCAGTGTGGCCAGAAGCTGTCCAGCACTGTCTATGATTTGGGGGGGGAGTGATCATGGGGGTTAGCCAGCAGCCTGGGGACAAAGGGGTTAACCTTATCTAAGTCAGGTAGATTCAGCCAATAGGAAGGTAGGTAGGAATTTAAAACTAGGACAAAGGAATGTTCAGTTTCTCCCTCCTTTGTCCTGGGCAGTTTCTCTCCATCTGCTGAGGGGGACAGACAGAATGTCTCCCTCCAAGAATAGACTCTTCACTCTTCTGTAAGTAGGGTAAAGTTTAGATAAATCTGTTAGGTTTTATTGTTTTATGGTTTGGGAAATGGGATCTGATGTCTGTGCATTAAAAATGCTTTTTGCTCTCTTTCGTAACTAAGTTCCTCGCCCCATGGTGGGTTTCTCCTCCATGAGTACGTTACTTAGTTACTTTTCCATCTAGTCATTATGCTTATAACAGAAATATTGTACTGATGATAAAAGTTCTTTCTCTTTTCTTTTCTTAACCTGGCATTGGTTAATTTTTGTGTGTCCTGCTTTGTACTTTAGGGGGTAAGATTTCCCAAGTGATCTCTCCCCTGATTTTCTTATCAATACAGTAATTCCTCATTTAACGCTATAGATATGTTTCAGAAAATGATCGTGTTCTCTCCCCTGATTTTCTTATCAATACAGTAATTCCTCATTTAACGCTATAGATATGTTCCAGAAAATGATCGTGTTAAGTGAAAAAGTGTTATGTAGGGTCAATTTTCCCATTGAAAATAATGGAAAAGGTGGGGGTTGCATTTCAAGCAGTGGTGTCTATTGGGACTGGGACATAATGTTGGGGGGGAAAAGGGGCTGGGTTACAGTGGGGGGGGAGGAGAAAGGGAGGAGGAGTGTTCGGTCTGGGGAAGGGAAGGAGAGGAGAGGATGTAAAAAGAATGTGATTAATTGTATTCTTTTATTCAGTCTGGAAAAAGTTTCTAGTGGGGTCATTCTCTGGTAGATATGAGGTGTGACGTTCAGCATTATTCATATTTAAATAATGCTGGGGTCTGATTCTGCTACTTATGTTGAGTGGTACATTATTCTTTGTGAATAGTTTCATTGGAGTCAACTAGACTTTATTTGTAGGATAAGTAATAAGTCTCAACCTGAGCTGAGTTGTAAGGTGCTTACCCAATGAGAGTAGGAATGTCTGACACTCAGATAATAATAATAGATGTAAAAGATTGTAGGGGGAAGGTTTTACCAAAGCCTGGAAAGATAAGGTTTTGGGGTACTTTTGTGGGCCTCCACCTCTGATTTATCATGCCAGAGTGGAGAAGGAGCCTTGACAAACTCCCTAGGCAATTTATTTCAGTGCTTAACAACTCTGATAGGAAGTTTTTTCTAATGTCCAACCTAAACTTCCCTTGCTGCAATTTAAGCCCATTGCTTCTTGTTCTATCACCAGAGGCCAAGGAAAACAATTTTTCTCCCTCCTCTTTGTAATACCCTTTTAGATACAAGAAAACTGCTATCATGTCCCCTCTCAATCTCATCTTAACTAAACAAACCCAATTCTTTCAGTCTTCTGTCATAGGTCATTCTAGACCTTTAATAATTTTTGTTGCTCTTCTCTGGACCTTCTCCAATTTTCTCCACATCGTTCTGAAATGTTGTGCCCAGAACTGCACACACTACTCCCATTGAGGCCTAGTCAATGCAGAGTAGAGCAAAATTACTTCTTGTGTCTTTCTTATAACATTCCTGTTAATGCATCCCAGAATGAAGTTTGATTTTCTTGCAAGTGTCACACCGTTGACTCATATTTAGCTTGTGATCCACTATGACCCCATGATCCCTTTCTGAAATACTCCTTCCTAGACAGTTGCTTCTCATTTTGTATATATGAAACTGATTGTTCCTAAGTGGAGTACTTTTCATTTGTCCTCATTGAATTTCATTCTATTTACCTCAGACCATTTCTCCAGTTTGTCCAGATCATTTTTAATTATAATCCTATCCTCCAAAACACTTGCAAACCCTCTCATGTTAATTTGCAACTGAATATAGCTTTTACTCTAAATGTCTTTTTTTGATAGCCAAGAGGGTACACTATATGAATATACATTTATTTTAAGTAATTACATAAATTAACTTACATTTATTCAGATTCTTGATTGCATTTATTACATTAGAAAATGGTGCATGATGTATTTCTTAACTAGATGATTACTTTCTTAACTGATGTGTCAAATAGCATTTTAAAATTGAAATTAAATAAAACTACCTTAAATGTGCAGGATATAAGAAAAAGTGCATTAAAATTAGTAAAACCTATATTAAAAACTAGCTAATTTATTAAACAAGGGAAATAAATGTCTAGTTCGTGACTTGAGCAGATATCTGGTCACTGTCCTTAAATTTCATAACAAATTGATCTCATGCTTCAACACATTTTTATTCATAGTTTAGAAAATGAAGACAGCTTTCCTGTTCTGCTTAATTTTGAATGAACTAGTCATTGAAACCGAACAAACTGAATAAACTGAAATGAAGAAAATACCCTCACTGCACCTGCAAAAGAGGGAACTGCTTTCAAAGGCTAATTTAAACATTCAGCAAACTCTGGATCCAGGTGATGACAGTGACTTCCATTGGTTCATTGGTGTGACTTCAAAACGTGGCAGAAAAATATGACTGCTTGGTATTATTTTTATTTAATTTGCTTCATTAGATTATAAATTTAAGCATTAAAATATGTTGTCATTTCAAAACTATTTTTAAATAAGTTTTTTTTAAAATAGCCCTGTATTTAATTGAAATAAAAAAAAGCAACATGTCCCAATGTCAATATAATCAAATGATATTGATTATAAAGAACACTCAGCACTAATCTTACTTCCAGCCAACAAATCACTTAAAACATTTTAATCTAAGAGACTTCAACAGAGACCTCACAGAGACTAAAATCACAGACAACTCCTCCATGTCAGAGGCAGGAGGAGAATTCAGAAGGTATCCCTAGTAATTACAAAAAACTGACACCTTCACAACCACTTTGTACCCAACTGAGAAGCAGCATCTGTATGTCACCAGGAGGCACTGGTACACTGTGTTCTATGACACCTGAAATGAATTGATAGTCTGTTCACTTTAAGTGCCTACAGCACAACATGGCACTAACCATCACCCTGGCTAGTAAAGACAACAATAAAGATGTGAACTGAATGAGTTTGGAAACTGAACTACACTGGTCTCCCCAGAGCCATTTGGGGGGAAGCTTGTCTAGATGTCAGATGGGCATGCTCTAAGGATGTTAAGAAGTGGGTAATTGACTAATCGTGTAGTCAATACAATTTGTATCAAATACACAATTAGTTGATAAGGGGAGGTGTGAGCACCCGGCACCTATTGCATTTAAACTGAAGAGCTGAAGCAGGTGTAGCTCCCAGACCCGGCACAAGCCAAGTCCCAGACTGCTGCACCTCTGCATTTTAAATGTTTTAGGAGCCACCCAGCTCTTACTCCATTTAAAATGCAAAGCCACAGCAGGGGTAGATCCAGGACCTGGCGCAAGCCGGTAGTGAGTGGTCCCAGCTTGCTCCGGGTCATAGACTGCTGCATCTCTGTCTCCTCTGCTCCCCCACATCGTGGAAACAGTGCTGGGGGGGAACCGGCTTTTAAGCAGATTTCTCTCCCTCCCCCCCTCCAACACCAGCTCCTGCTCCCCCCTCTTGCTGGTGGGGGGACAAGTGAGTACTTGAGTAGTGACTCGACTATCCGATAAGCCTAGGCTTATCAGGTAGTCGACTACTTGATGAGTTGCTTACATCCCTAGCATGCTCTATGGATAAATACAATGTTAATTCCCAGGCCTTATAGGTACACAAACTCTAAACTCACATTTTATTTTGAAAACCTCAGCGTTGGCTCAAAAGGTAAGTATTTCTACATACACACATCTTCAGTAAACCATTCCAGGCATTTGCCATTTAAGAACACTGTGATACCTCTAACTTTTTGTTTTTCTGTTCACCCCAAATTAAATGCGGAGCAATGCCAGATGTTGGACCTGAACTTTGGCTGATGAAGCAAGTTAAGACCATAATGACTAAAGGTAAGATTTTGTCACGGATATTTTTAGTAAAAGTCAGGGACAGGTCACAGTCAATAAAGAAAAATTCATGGAAGCCCATGACCTGTCCCTGACTTTTATTAAAAATATTCATACCAAAATAGGCCCCATCACCCATGGGAGTTCAGAGCTCTAGGGTTCTCCTCCCTCTCTGGCTCAGGGCTGCAAGCAGAGCTGGTCTTAGGGCTGGGTAAACAGGGCGGCTGCCCAGGGCCACCATTTTCAAGAGGCCACTGCCGGAAGCCTGCTCGGGACACCTGGCAATTAAAGGGGCCATGACCGCATTTCAGCCTCCCCCCCCCCCCGGGGGGCTGACAATTGGTTAGGACCAGCCCTGGATGCAGGGGCCTGCCAGGAGTTGAGGAGTTCCCCACTGCTGGCAGCTGGTGGGAGCTCCAGGGTCTTCCTGGCCACTTACGGCAGCTAAGAACTGCAAAATACATTTTCTAGTGGCTCTGAGCTTGGGGGCCCCTGCTGCCTCAGGTGGTGGGGTATTCTGCCACTCCCAGCCACCTGCAAGCTGAAGTAAGGGGGGTCTTTGGAAGTCTCAGATTTCATGACTTCTGCATCCTCCATGACAAAATTGTAGCCTTAATAATGACTTTCTGACACCATGGAAATGAACTAGTTTTAGAGAGTTACATTCCCTTAATTTTTTTTATGTGACCAATCCCAAGCCATCTAGTCCAGGCACGTCAAACAGGCCCAGTTGAAATTTTTTGCGGCCCGCCACTACATTTCTGTAAAAGAATAAATTGGCCCGCTGGCTGCTCGGAGCACGTGGTCGAGTAGATCACAGCCGGCCACTCTGCGCATGGCACAGCACTGATTGCTCAGGAGCGACCGGGCCGCTCTGTGCACAGCACTGCAGTGACTGCTCACGGCCAGCTGGGCCGCTCTGCACTCCAGTACGTATTCACAGCCGTCCAGGCCACTCTGCGCTGGGCGCTCCAGTATGTACGCAGAGGCATCTAGCACCTGCTCACAGCTGGCCGCTGTGCTCACATGGCCCCAGCGCCTGAGGAAGAAATGTGCAGTGGCGGCAGTGGCCTGGGGATGGGGGAGGCATTATGTTGGGAAGGGCCTAGCTCTAGGGGAGAAGAGGGGGATATTTTGTTTGTTTATTTATTTATTCCCAAATAAATCACAAATTGTATATTAAATTTTATATCAAATGTCAGTTTTTTGCAATTGCGTGAATATTATATGTTTATGCAAAATCTCAAACTTACAAAGTATCTGAAATTTTCACAGAAGCCTTTTATATTTGATTAACCATGGTCTATACCTGTTTTTATTTCAGCAAAAAAAGTTACCGTATGTATCATATAAAAAATTAAAAAGTACCTTAAATGTATATTTAAATTACAAATTATTTTATACGGGAAAATAACAATTTTACACATCAAATTACTGTATTATATTAAAACAAGAACTGAAAAATTATAAAATATACCTAAAACATAATCTATAATAATAAATAATTATGACTTTCTGATAGAAGTACATTTTCTTTGGTGGCCCTGAAAGCTATCAGTTTTCGTTTGCGTGGCTCTGAGTAGGCTTCGAGTTTGACATGCTTGATGTAATCTCTAGCTAATGTTCCTTCAGAATGTAATTCCTTTTGAAGAACAAAATGTAAGATGATAACGCAAATGCAGAAAAAGATGTATGTTCTCACCTTGTCTGGTGAATAAATATCATCTTAAAGTAGTTTGAAAAAGCAGCGAGCACTGCTCTGTGGGCCTTGAAGTAAACATCTCCTATTGCAACAGTACAGTCGCACAGAAAACCAAACTCTCGCTGCATGTTTAGCTGCTGCAGGAGGACTAGACTGTGGCTAGCTGTATCCATGGTGTTTCTAAAAGCAAATGAGGACAAAATGTGAGTGCTTGCTGAAGAGAGGGTAATTTTAGTATCAAAATGCCAGTTTATTTTACAAAGAAATTTATAAATGTGCATAACATGGAGGTCAGACAAAAGCTAACATGGTTCTCTGACAATCCAGGATGTTAACATCATCCTGGCAGTAGGGCATCACAGTTTAGTAACTTACAGATACCATTAGGAATACCCCAACACAATCTACTAAAAATTGAAAAAATGAATTTCTTCTTTCCTTTGTACTGGGTAGCAATTCCAGATTTTGTTTGTTTGTTATTTGTTGGGTTTTTTAGGTTAAAAAGAACACACTTCAACTAAACAGTCTCAAGTTACCAAACCTTAATGTCAAATGGATTCTGCTTTTGCTCTTACCTGACTTCCAACCATTCCCCCAGATCAGCCATTCCCCCAGAACTCAAACTTCGAGGCTGTGTCTACACTGGCGCGATCTTGCGCAAAATCAGTCCCCATCTGCGGTGGGGGTAAGGGGCAGACACTCCATTCCTCCCTGCCTGTGTTTGTTTGATTAAATGGGATGTTACATCCCTAGTGTAATGCTGCATTTCCTGCAGATCCAAAACTCTCACTAAGATTATATCTACACTACATTGTAAGCCTGTGCTCAGGATCAGGTTCAAGCACAAACTCTCCTGCCCACAAACAGATCTGTTTTGACTCCTGGCCAACAAGCCCTCATTACCCAGGTCCTAAGAGCTGGCTGGGGGGCAGGGTCCAAGCCAAAGTCCTGCTGTGAGTTGGGCCTGAACTTATCATTTTTCAATGTGGACACAGCTCCAGGCCAGGTCCCCAGACCTGTGTGCTGAGAGTCTGACAAACAGTATTCTACAATCCCATAGGTCAGTGTTTCTTGCCATTCTATCCCAAAATGAACCAATCAACTCCCAGGACCCAGAAGCAATCCCATCCCTTCATGTACAGCTGCTCAGTGTTTCATTCTGAACTGAACAGAGTTGACTGTCCCCTGCCTTAGATACGACCAGTCAGAAGAAGTCATTTCCAAGCACAAAGCTACCTGGTCATGGCACAAGCGATTTCATCAATGGACCCAACCACATCAGAGGCTCGTTTAATGCACATCCACTAATGTAAGCTATGATCAAATGCCAGCAATGCCCCTCTGCCATGTATATTGGCCAAACTGGACAGTCTCTAGGGGAAAGAATTAATGGACACAAATCAGATAGCCGAAAAGGCAACACGCAAAAAGGAAAACATTTTAATCTGCCTGGGCACTCATTAATGGATTTCAAAGTCACTGTGTTGTTTCAGGCCAATTCCACAAGCCAAATACACAGGGAAGCCTTGGGACTTAACTTCATTTACACATTTGGGATCCATCACAAAGGTATGAATGAAGACATCACCTGGCTAGCACACTACCTTCCACATCCTAATGACTTTAAAAAACAGACAATGGGTGCTTAGTGAAGGTACAAATTGTTCTTAACAGCTTCATGTAACGTGAACACTAGTTCACTTTTTTTCTCCCCTCCATATCCCCTTTTTATTTTGGAACTGGTCTTTTAATACTCTATTCATCCCGGGCTCCACGCGGTGCTGCCGCTTTGAAACACCACGTGCAGTCTGACACCTGGCTCCTTCCCAGCGTTTCAAAGCGGCAATGCTGCACGGAACCTGGGGTGAACAGGGGACTTCCCTGCTGATCCTGGGCTCCACACAGGGCTGCCACTTTGAAAAGCCAGGTGCAGCCTGGGGATACCCCAGCTGGCCTCCTGGCTGCATGTGGTGTTGCAAAGCATTAGCGCCAGGGGTCTGGCCCCAGGCTTCAAGCAGTGCTGCCGCTTTGAAGTACTCTGTCCTCTCCCTCCCACTTATTGCCTCTTTCTGATAGAGGAGTCACAAAGTTATTACATGGGGGGTTGTGAACAGTCAACCTCCACCCCAAATTCTGCATTGCCTTCACCCTTAATAATGGGGTTCAATATTAAAACAAGTGTTTTCAATTTATAAGGGGGTCACACTTACAGGTTTGCTGTATGAAAGGGGGTCACCAGTACAAATGTTTGAGAACTGCTGACCTAGCACCCTAAGGCTCTGGTCCATGCCTAGGAATTCTCTCTCTCACCCCATGCAAATGAATGATGATGATGATGATGATGCACTGCAAGATCTAGTCTCTCTCTGCCTCATTTTCCACGTGGCTGCATTGCACATCCAAGCAGCTGCAGGCACAATCACACACAGTCAGTTGCGGTGCAATTTCGGACCACACAAAAGAGTAATTCCTCTAGTTTCTCTATGAAGGGGCGTTGCTGCTGCCCACGAGCTGTTCATGGTGGACCATATTCCCGCCCCCCGCATTACCTACTCACGCACGAGCTATTGTATTGCCAAGCCCCAGCGTTAAGCTCAGCGGCCTC